TGTTAGATTAGATTAGGCATCCTTAAGTCTCGAGAGACTAGAGTAATGTGCTCTGTATGGAGGACTTGGAACAGCGTCTAGTGTGGCTGAGAAGGCCAATTCAAGAGGGACCATCCCTTCCACACTGAAGACAAATACAGTCTGTCCCCTGTCCAGCTCCCTGATTTTGCTGCTTTCGGGACTTCCTCTTTGCCTCAGCCTGCTGGACAAGGGTCTCTTCAAAATGGGAGAGGCCGTGATGCAACACCTGCCTCCAGGTTGAACGCTCAGATGTCAGGGTTTCCCACCTGTTGAGTTCCATTCCTAAGGCCTTCAGATCCCGCTTGCAGATGTCCTTGTATCGCAGCCGTGGTCTCCCTCTGGGGCGATTTCCCTGCACTAATTCTCCATACAGGAGATCTTTTGGAATCCGACCATCAGCCATTCTTATGACGTGCCCAAGCCAACGTAGACGTCGCTGTTTCAGTAATGTATTCATGCTGAAAATTCCAGCTCATTCTAGGACTTCTCTGTTTGGAACTTTGTCCTGACAGGTGATACCAAAAATCCGTTGGAGGCAAGGCAAGGGGTCCAGGACTCACTGCAGTGGAGGAGTGTGCTCAGGACACAGGCTCTATAGACCTGGATCTTGGTATATGCCATCAGCTTTTTATTGAGCCATACTCTCTTTGTTGGTCTAGAGAACATGGTAGCTGCTTTCCCAGTGCGTTTATCCAGCTCGACATCTAGAGAGTGTGTGTGACATAGTTGAGCCAAGGTACACAAAGTCATGAACAACCTCCAATTCTTATGTGGAGATGGTAATAGAGGTAGAATATAAGTGAGCAATTAATCAATTGATCAGCCATTGCATTATGAAAGGGGTGAGGGCCAACGTGAAGGGTGTATTAATTTGTCCTTCTGACAATGTTGGCTATACTGTGCCATTTCAGAAGCACACTTGGTAATCTCCTAGAATATCGTTTACAATGTGATATACAGAAGGAAATCTCATGGAGTCTCATGTAGGATTGCCTATACATAACCTTTGTCTCTAAGGGTTTTGGCTCCAGAAGAACCAAGCTCTTCACTTGCTACTTGAAGGGAGATTGGGAAGCAAATAATGCTTGGCATGGAATATTAGAAATGGACTTTTAAGTTATTGTAGTTGAGCCAAGATGGAGAAAGCAACACATCTAGTAGAAATCAAATTAACCCCGATGGAACTGAAATAACAAGGGTGGAAGCAATCAGATAACTGACAAATATAGACATGTTCCAGCTATATTCATACAAAACTACAGAACGGTCCCCCAACACACAAATAACTGGACTAATTAATTCATTTTCTGTTCAAAGCTTTTATTTTTAAGATTCCAAGAAGACAGTTTATTCTTCTGAATGTAAAGCTGGATTTTACTTGAGATACTTAGGCTTTTCTACTGTATGGATTATATGTTACAGCATAAGCACCCAATTTGAGTGTAAGAAGCAAAGTGTTTGGTAGTTCTACAATTTTAGGTGTAAGAGGATTTATTGTTGCATATCTAAATCAAGCACACACATATCTTCTTTCAGCAGCCGATAAAAGACTGTGTTCTGCATTGTTTTTCAAATAATGTTATTCCTCCCAGCAAACCCCACCCGCAAGGAAAGCATCTTATCTTGAAACAGTGATTCTGCTTTAATATTCAGAATGCATGGATATCAGGATTATATCATTTTAACATCAGTGGAAAGTGAAAGCATCACAGAAATCCACTCCATTCATTCGACTCGATTTGTTGCAGAGAACAATACTTGTGTTATTGAAGTATATTAGCGCAGTATGCTTCCTACCTTCAACGCATTATTGGCAGGATTAACACTGCTAACTGTATACATATTGTATGCTTTTTAGTGACTTGTGTAGACATCAACCAAGCTGGGAATCATGAAATCTGGCACCTAACACTAGAAATATTTGCCCTTGTTTTCTAACACCTGCTGGAGCACTAAAAGATACATCAAGTGACTGCAAGACTGAATCTTACACTGCACCTTCAAGATGATCACATTTATTCTGGCATGTGCTTTCACAGACTAGGACCCACTTCATCAGAGGCAGGAAGTGTTATCCCCAGTTGGCAGGTGAAAACACTAATGTCAGAAAAGAATGCAGTGCAGGAAATACAGCTCTTGTCGGCATTCATAATAATAATAATGATAATCGTTAAAAACAAAACAAAACAAGAAAGGTCTGTGGCACCTTTTGAGCTGAACAGTTTTACTTCAGCATGGATTCAGGGTTTCCTGGATTGCGACCATCTCTCCTAATGGTGCCAAAATAGTGCTGGCTTTGTTTCAGTCTTGCTTTTATTTTTTGCCCATGCTGACACAAATTGACACAGCTGCCTCTCTGAAATCCCATCAGGATCTAGTCATAATTAGCCAAGAGGACTGAGCAAGGGCTGTCTGGCTGAGCTGACCTTGAGTCAAGCAAGATTGTGCTGAATCCAGGCCTTTTTCACCCTTGGAAGACTGGAAAGGACTCAGGTCTACCTGGACCCTGGCTGAACTTTGTGCCGATATTAGCTGAAATCCTGTTGCTGGGTGTAGTAAGTCACAACTAGATTAGGCCCTTGAATCAGTGGAGTTTTGGAAAGTCATTTCTGTAAATTCCATCAATTCAATGGATCTACTTTTATTGAAGCCTACTATGCTAAGCAACAGGGTTTCCATAGTGGCAGATTATCTGGGCTGAGGGAGGGCTGCTGCAAACCAGTTCCTTCCCCCCTCTTTTTTTTTATCCTTTTGCTGCTTGTGTCAGTTTTTCCAGCAGGGTTGAGATCAATCAGCACAAGGGAGTTGTGTCTGCACAAGGGCAAGGCTTGAACCCACTGAAAATGAAACAAAACAGAACACTGTTGTACTGTGTTGAGCTGATAAAGGTAAAGGTAAAGGTTCCCCTTGACAATTTTTGGCCAGTCGTGTTCGACTCTAGGGGGCGGTGCTCATCCCTGTTTCCAAGCCATAGAGCCAGTGTTTGTCCGAAGCCAATCTTCCGTGCTCACATGGCCAGTGCGACTTAGACACTGAACGCTGTTACCTTCCCACCGAGGTGGTCCCTATTTATCTACTCGCATTTGCATGCTTTCGAACCGCTAGGGTGGCGGGAGCTGGGACAAAGCAACGGGAGCTCACTCCTTCGCGTGGATTCGATCTTACAACTGCTTGGTCTTCTGACCCTGCAGCACAGGCTTTTGCAGTTTAGCCCGCAGCGCCAGCAAGTCCCATTGTTGAGCTGAAGACAACCTAATTTAGATTATAGTGTACACACGAGACATGTGAACATGCGGGCTATGCTACCAGGGGATTGCACAGTCAGTTGCACTAAAAATCATCTTAGAACCCCAGAGCTGTAAGTGACCCTCTGGATCATCAAGTCCAGCCCCTGTCAAGGAGGCGTAGCATGGAATCGAACTCCCAACTTTTGACTCCACAGCTAAGTGCAGGGACAAAGTGGACTCTAGTCTACTAAAGTTCATGCCAGCCAGTGAGTAGGGGCAGAAATGTTAGTATTTAAGGTGCTGCATGAGTATTAGCTGCTTTGCCTGCAACAGCTGAATACGGCTTCCTTTCTGGCAATTGTTACAATTGAATACAGAGAATTGTTTAACAAAAGAGTAAATCAGAAAGATGCAGATGCTTGGTGAATAACCCATTATACAAAATCAGCCCCTATTTGTCCCTATGTATCAAAGAGAACCTGTGTTTTCTAATATCTTACCAATCCTTGCTTGTCTTGCCTCTGTGTTGTAACAAAACCTCAACCTGTGATAACAATCCCTTGAAAATTTCTGCCTGTATTTTGCCCTGATCCTCATATTTTGGGTCATCTGACTTAAATGCTGGTAATGTGAATTGCTAGCATCATCTGGTGGTGGGGAGATAAACTTCTTCAAAAACTTGTGGTTTTTAATATTTTAGTGGTGTAATGGAGGTACAGCTCTTTCTCAGTTTGGGATCTTCTGTTTGAAGTCAAATTGACAAATTAGATTTATGGTTTTTTGTTGTTGTTGACAAACAAGCAACAAAAATAACAATCTCTTGCTGTGCACAGTACCTTTTAGCAAGTATGCCTACGCTGTAGAGCAGTAAAAATACAGTGTATGCAAAAGAAATACCCTTATTTGCAAGCACGTGTGAACACTATGAAGGCAGGTTTCACTACATACAAATATAATAGCAAACCGGTGATTGTCACCACAAAATGTATGTGAATTGGCTGTCAGTAGATACCGTCTGTCTAATACTTCCCAAATGATTTAGAAAGGATAAGCATTTCAAAAGTCTGTTTCTGTTTCTACAGGCTGAAGTCTTTGATGTACAGTATGGGACTGCAGAAGACTTGCTCAGAATTCAAAACCTCACAATGGTGTCTGGAAAAATTGCACTGTTGAAGTTAGGACGTCTGCCTCTGCTATATAAGGTTAGTTACGGCATTAAAGTAAAATTTGCCTGGATGAATCGTTTCTCCTGTCCCTTGGTTTTTAAATTGCTGACATTGCAATAAGATCTAGCTGCACAATTTAATCTGCCGAGTCTGTATTAACTTGTTCCTTCCATCAACTGTCTGCTACAGTTTCTGGGTTTGGATAATACAGGTGTTCTGTTCAAAGAATTTTTGAAAACAGTTACTGATCAGATGCAGTTTGACTGCCCAGCTATTGCAGAAAGCAAGAGCAAGAGAGACACTGAGTGCATTTTAGTTGGATAATGAAGGAGACACAAAAATGTTGAGATTTGATTAATAAACAGGGATAGAATATGCATCTGGTCCCCAGTGCGGTGTGCAGTGGTTCCCAACCTTGGGCTTCCAGATATTCTTGGACTACAACTCCCAGAAGTCTTCACCACTACCTCTGCTGTCCAGGATTTCTGGGAGTTGAAGTCCAAGAACATCTGGAGGCCCAAGGTTGGGGACCGTGTAATGGACACACAGACTAGAATGATGGGACCAAAGTTAACAGAATCATAGAATAATGGAGTTGTAAGGAGCCTGTAAGGCTATAGAGTCCAACCCTCTGCTTAGTGCAGGAATCCAATTCAAAGTATATCTGACAGATGGTTGTTCAGATCCCTACTTTGCCATGGAAACTCACTGAGGGACTAAAACAGGTAAAGCCACTCCTTAAATATTTCACTTAACTTGAAGGCCCTATTAGGGTCACTATAAGTTGGTTCTGACTTGACAGCAGACAACTAACTAACTAACATACATATGGAAGAAATGTTACGTGAGAGAATCCCAGGTTCTTCACTAGGAATGTAAAATAAAACTATAGGTTGAAATATTAGTGGTTTAAAGGTATTTAGATAACTTGGATATTGGAGGGACGTGGTGGCGCTGTGGGCTAAACCGCAGAAGCCTGTGCTGCAGGGTCAGAAGATCCGGCAGTCGTAAGATCGAAGCCACGCAACGGAATGAGCACCCGTCGCTTGTCCCAGCTCCTGCCAACCTAGCGGTTCGAAAGCATGCAAATGCGAGTAGATAACTAGGGACCACCTCGGTGGGAAGGTAAACAGCGTTCCGTGTCTAAATCACACTGGCCATGTGACCACGGAAAGATTGTCTTCGGACAAACGCTGGCTCTATGGCTTGAAGAGCGGGGTGAGCGCCGCCCCCTAGAGTCGGACACGACTGGACTAAAAATTGTCAAGGAGAACCTTTACCTTTACCTAGATATGGAGAATATTAACTTCCCAGCTTCTTATTCTTGGTGAGAATAAGAAACTGAGAACCTAATTTCACTACATTTCTCTGTGTAATCTCTCTCTCTCTCTCTCTCTCTCTCTCTCTTGCAAAGTCTTATAAGATTTCTTGAATATTTCATGGCCACTTTTATTCTGTCAAGAAACAGTAGTCAGGACAGAACTACAATTCCTGCAGAAAAGGACATCTTTCCTGAACAAGATTCCCTGGGAGGGGCATTGAGGTGCACATGAATTTGACCATTTGTTAAGCAAAAAAGTAAGGGCAAAAATGGAGAAAGCAAGATTGTGATTCATTTAGGGGGGAAATGAGAAATCTTGCTCTCGTATGGGGGAGTTTTGGCATCTCAAGGCTTGAAAAGTTGTCGAGAACAAGAAAATCTACACATTTCATGGGCCTTTCCACTATTGCTGCCAGTCTGCATGAAGGACCAGCAAGGTGTGCTCTTCTTTAAAATTAACAACGACAGACACAAAGCTGTATTAAAAAAAAACAACAAAAATACAAAACCCCAGTTAGCCCTCTGGTGCAAGGAGCAGGAATAGAAAGCCCTGAGCAAACAGATCCTTAGTTTATCTCCACAAGGTGGGTTTAGAAGGATGGAAAGACTTAAAAATACATCAGCGTAGTGTGCAAGTTGAAAACTCTATAAGAAGAGACATTCATTCTTCTTCAGCTATCTCACTGCAGTAAAGTAAAGGTAGAAGCTGCACAGTCCTGGGCTGTGAGAAATTTTTCAGAACATTCTCAAAATGTTCTAAAGGTAAAGGTTCCCCTTGACAATTTGTCCAGTCGTGTCCGACTCCAAGAGGCGGCGCCATAGAGCTAGCATTTGTCCGAGGACAATCTTCTGCGGTCACGTGGCCAGCGCGACTAGGCACAGAATGCCATTACCTTCCCACTGTGGTGGTACCTATTTATCTACTCGCATTTTGCAACCTACCCTATAAATTTGGATGCTATTTCTTTTTCCCTTCCTCCTCCTATGAATGAATGAAATTTAATAGATAAAAAATGGGTGAATCTTTTACCAAAAATTAAAACAAAATTTGAACTACTGCACTATCCAGAGGCTTGTGGCATCGTGGTTAAACTGCAGTATACTGCAGTCAAGACTCTGCTTATGACCTGACTTTGATCTCAATGGGTTCAAGTCACCAGCTCGAGGTTCACTCAGCTGTCCATCCCTCCAAGGCTTGGTACCCAGCTTGCTGGGGTGGGGGAGGCAACGTGTAGCCTACATAATTGTAAACCACCTACAGACTGCATTAAGCACCATGCAGCAGAATATAAACAGTTACAGCACACAATATGCTTTAGTTTGCTTTGTTTTCATTTAAAACGTTTTAATGCCACCCTTCCCTGGATCTAATTTCAGGACGGGGTACAATAAAAGCAAATTTACTCCATACTTCTGTCAGATGTGGCATCATTTTATAAACTCTGCTGCATCCGATATATCAAGAAGTGGCACAGAAAGAGAGAGAGAAAGAGAGAGAGAGAGAGGAATTGAGAGCTATGGTAGCTGGTGACGGCAGTCTACTTTTGTCATGTGATCTGAGATCAGAAATAGAAATCTCAATCTTAGACATCATTACTTGTCCTGTTGGAGATTCAGACATGCCCTGAGGTGAGGCTCAGCATAACACATTGCCTGTCTAACCTCAAGCTTTTGGGATCTTACCATGTCTTTTGGACTGCCTCCAAAATCTGAGGCTTCCAGCTGTACTGCGACACAGTGGGTGTCTCCGGAATGGAAACGATGAACTGTAATGGAATAAAACATAGCACAGAAGGAGTAGCCAGATGGGACTCAGGGAATGTATTTCACATTTTTAAAAAAGTTTTTGAACCTTTTAAAAGGTACTATTCATCCCACTTACCTACAGCAATTTGCCACAGTAACACAATTTGTATAGCTTGTTTATCTTCACCCACAAGAAAAGCATGCTATACAAAACATGACCTCATCAGTTCATTCATTTTGAATATATGCAAGCCTATTAATTGTTGTGTGTTTTTTAAAAAAACCAACAGTGGCTGCTTTTCATTAAAGCTATCCAAAACCTGTAGTCAAGGAGGTAACCAAAGCTCTAAAAAAAAGCAACTTAAAAGGCAATCATTGTCAATAGGGATGTGTATCTGTATTCTGAAACATTCAGAATTCAACAAATAATGCCATGTTTGCATAGCTCCAAATATATCCAAGTCCAAGTATGATAGTCCCAAACATTTGTAATAATAATTCCTAATCTTCAGAGTCCCATTTACTCCTAAAGATTAGAAAGCAAAAAGCTGGGTTTCTGCTTGCTGTAGGAAGAAGTGGAAGTTAAATCTATTTCCCAGGCATCCTAGAGTGTTTCTTGAGGAATAAAATTCAAAGACATTCTGCACCAAGGGTAGTTGGGGTGGAGCACTCAGGGTCTCCGGATTGGGGTTGCCATATATTTTCCAAGGAAGGGGGCTGGAATGAGAGCAAAACCTGTAAATTTGTTTTCTGCTGTAGTAGAATCAGATACTATTTCTCTTTGGGTAGAGTCTGCAGGCACTATGAAATGTGGGTGTGGTAGTGAAGCAGGCACTTTGGGAAGGCTGCAGGAATGCTGCCTGCACCCACTGCAGCAGCTTCTACTGAGCAGACTGGGAGAGGGAGAGAGAAGAAAGAGAACCTATAACCAATGTTTTCAGTCCCACTGTGTGGTGCTCTACCCCTCTTGTGTGCAACTTTAAGCCCATGTGCATGACTCTGCTTCCCCTGCGCGTGATTCCATTGCGACTGGGACCAAAGGGGCTGGAAATGATTTCTATGGGTGTGCGGAGGAGGTGAATGTTGTGCAGAACAGAGGCAGAGCTGCGCATGTGCAGGCCTGCCCCTTAGAGGGAACCTTGCCTCCAACTGCTGTGATGCCTCAAACATAATCTGTCACCCAGCTGCCTTGTTCAGCATTGGACCTATGAAAGAGCAACGGGCAACAGTACAAGGGGTGTGTGTCTGTGTATCTGCCAAGAAGGTGGCAGAGGAGCCTCTGGTTCTGTGAATCTCAGACATGTTCCAGTGTCATCTTTGTTCAATCCAGCCTTGGCAGCCAGGGCAAGGGGTCAAAATGAGGGGACAACTGAGGTGGAGGGGGGTACATAGATGGAGAAAAGCATTTTCTTTTCTGACCTGAAGTGGTGGCCCTCACTTGCTGTCATGATGATGGGATATGCAGTCAGAGAAATGTTAGATGGAATCAGACAAGTTCTGTGTGAAGATAATTTGAGATACATTGGGATGTGTTTTTCTAAGTGCCATGAAAGTGTTTTCCCAAAGACCGTTACAGCCTGGTTCGAGATAGCGATGAAGGCCAAATTGAGAGGCCCGTGGAAGACTCAACATTCTGAGCTAAATGGAGAACAGATAAACAACATCTGGACTCTCATGGGAATAAGGAGAGGAGGAAGGTGGTACAGCCTCTTGAGGCTAATTGCTTAACAGCCAGAATTGTCAAGAAGAAGGGAGGAGTTAGAGAGTGTAGAAAAATGGACTATGGGTTGTGTGAGAGGTATGGAGATCCAGTTCTGTTCTGGGACTCGATTCCATGATGATGGTTTGAGCATGTGACTTGAAGGAGTGAGGATGT